TTTGATTGGAAATTTTTTTCTCAAAAAATGGCGGTGTAGCACAAAAAGTTCAGCGACTAAGTGACTTGCACTATAGTTTCTAATGGTGAAACACAATATTGCAGTATTGATTAGCTCAAAATGTTCATGTACCACATTATTTATTACCTTAGTCCACATAAAGTCCATTTATTTGATATTCAAGATGAAGCGATAAGGGAAAAAATTAATCATGTTGTGATGAAAACGAAATTATAGGAAAAGGTCTAAATGGCACTCTTAGTATGATCTTTGATAGAATCAAGAAATTGAATAATGGCGAAAAGTATTTAAGGATTACTTGTGATAATGCTGGCAGGCAAAATAAAAATAATACCACTATTGATTTTACTTATCACTTATAAGGAGTTCAGGCTAAAATCTTGCATGGGATTTAATTAAAGGGTTGAAAAATAATAATGAAATAGACACTCATGTTTATATTGCACTTCAATCTTTGTCATCATTGTTATTATCCAAAAATTCATTCATACATCACACACATCAAAATCAACATTGTCATTAATTACAAAGAAAAAAAAGTTGCGTGTGAATTGTATAAATTTTTACGAAGATCTAAAAACCCGTTTATTTGGCAGATATCACTTTGTGTTGTTTAAAATACCACAGAAATAAATAAGATATCATTTTTCATTTGTTCGTTCGTTCGCTCATCTATTCATCATACGTTGATTTTTTGATAAATTATATTATACATCATACGTGTTTCTTAGAATAAGTATCATCCAAACTTCAAATAAAAACTTTGGTTTTTGAAAAGTAAATGTTTGAACCTTTACAAATACCCACGTTTCTTATTTTAAACGCACAATACATAATTTCAAAAAAAACTTTAAAGATAATAATTTTATTTACTATTGTTATTTATTTATTAATCTTACGTTTTAATCCAATGATTGTTTGAAAAGCTTGCTTTAAAATGGTATAATAAATGAACTTTAAAATTATTTACTACAACTTTGTAAAAAGATGGACGATCCTTTTAATCGATGTAAAGTGAAAAATCATTATGTATCCACCATTTACATTTTATGACATTGTAAAAAATTGTGATTGTTACCCATATCCAAATGAGTTAGTCAATGATTCCGATAATAAATATAAAAACGTAGTTCCACTTATTTTTGAAACAACTAAATTAGGCTTAATTTTACCATCAATAATACCAACATTAAAAGAATATAACGATAAACAAAACCCAAAACCTTTCTCAATTCAGTATGATGATGCAGGTTCTTCAAATTATGTAAAATTTCGACCTCATTTAAATACTTTTGAAAAAAGAACTGAAGCTGTTCAAAAACTTTTTGAACAATGGAGGCAAGAAAAAAAAATTAAGCGGTTGGAAGGTAATTTTAATTAAAAAAAGTTGCTTGAATTAATTACTTTTTTCTTTTTTTTAAAAAAAACAATCAAATATCATTAAGGCTGGAGGAATGAATTATATCCAGTTTATGGAGACAATGGCGAAGTTGCGTTTTTAATTGAACGTAGTGCTTCACCATTGTTTGGTGTGGTAACATATGGAATACACTTGTCTGCATATTTAAAAATCAAAGATGACAACAACAATAATAAAATTAAAATGTGGATTGCAAAACGATCCTCAACAAAACAAACATGGCCAGGTATGTTGGATAATACGGTTGCAGGTGGTTTGCCATATAAAATGTCATTACAAGAATGTGTTATCAAAGAAGCAATTGAAGAAGCTAGTCTTGAAAGAAACATTGCAGAAAAAGCTAAACCTTTGTGCTTTTAATATTCCATCATTTACTAATTGTTGATATTTACCTTCAAGTAAAAGTTCTTTTTCTGGATTAATGTTATAATTCGATTTTAATTTTTTTTAATCATTATTATAATTTTCATTATTATTATAATCATTTCCTGGTAATAATAAAAAATACGTAGAAAAAAGTATAACGATGATAATAAAGGGTATACGACTTTTATGAAGTAATAGTGACATTTAAAAAGAATAAATAAATTATTTGAATAATAATATGAAAAGAAAAAAAAAAAATTTTAAATTAATGTTAATTGTGTCACTATTTATTGCCAAAGTTCGTAATTTTTTTTGCAGATATTTGAAATCGTTTCCATATTTTAATCAGATCTAGAGTTTTTTCTTATTCTGGCATAGAGTAGTACGGCAAAATGTTTAATTTCTTATAAACTTGCAGAGAAGATAAGAGAGGATGAGAGGAGAGAGGAGAGGGAGGAGGGAGCGTGGTTCATTTATATAGGTGATTTTTTATAAGTTTGCGATCTGTGAAAACCTGTTTATTTTTTTTTCCATAGAAATTAATTTTAAAATTTAAATAATTAACACGTATTAGAAATGACAGAATTCCACATGTTGTCTAATTAATATTAGCTTAATACGAAGAAATTTGTTACTTGTCATGTAATGATCCCTTCCAAAATACGTAAGGTGCTTTATTTCTTAATAATTACTGAGTAAACGAGCGAGCGAGTAAGAGAAAACTTTTGTTTTGAAATCGATCCACGTAATTACCTTTTTTTATTGAATGCAAAAAATAAGTATTGCAGATTGTGAAAATCAATGATATATAAAAATAGAGATGGTATTTTATTTTTAAAAACTAAAAGAAATGAAAAAAAAAAGAATAAAAAAATTATTCAGCATCATCACCTTCATTATTTGCCTCCATTTCATTCTCATTGTCAATATTTTCAATATCTGTACGATCTTCATTATTACCGTTACTGACAACTGCGCTCGTTGCATTTGCCGATTCCGTTTATATATATATATTATAAAACCTGCTTACTTTTCTTCTACAGCCGCGCACGAATTAATTTTAAATTTAATAAATAGCTAATTAACATGATAGAATTTCACATGTATGGTTCCCAGATGTCTAATTATTATTATCGTCATCATCATCATTATGTACACTCATCAAAAAATCATCGGATAAGAAAAACCAAAAATTACAATACTTTAACATGGTTATGGCAGAAATATTATGATAAACTGGTAGAAAATATTAGAAAATATCCTGTGTTGGAGAAACCCATAATAATAATACGATTGGCTGAATAGATTAGTATATAAGCGAGTCGTATGTTTTTATAATATTGTGACACCAAAGAATATCATCAATTTGAAAATTTGGCACTTGGCACAGCACTATTAATCGAGTTTTCGAGTGACACCTTCTGCAGAATTCGGAAGCACAAATGAAAATCTCAATGTAAACTTGTTTATATAATTATCAAGTATACCATACTAATACTTAATGACTTTGAAATACGAATAGTATTTTTATTCGTTCAGAATACTTTTGTGTGTAAATTAAATTAAAACAATGCAACAACATCTACCTCGGTTGCACTAAAAAAAAAAACCTTACTACCCTTTTTAGTATAATTTCTACCCAATCAAAGTTTCCCAGGTTATGTTGTACAAAAAAATTTTAAATAAATAATAAATGCTCAATTTTTTATTATAGAAAATCATTAAAATTCTTACTCTACTTTTTTTCTAAAAAAAAAATAAAAATATGAGACGTACAACTACAGCATCGTCATCATCAACAACAAAACCAGCTACTAACACGCGTACCACTTCTACACAAAAGACCTCAACATCATCAAGCACAACTAATATTGCCACAACAACCAAAAATTCACGCTCTACAAGTTCACCGTCAAAAACAACAACGACTACTAAATCGTCTACACTTTTATCGCCAACAACCAAAAATTCACGTCCGTCAAGATCACCCTCACCCTCATCAAGAACTTCTACTACCACCACCGCTAGTGCTTCAAGAGCGAAAGCTTCTGTACCTTCTTCCGCCTCTTCTATTAAAGAACACATCGCACAAGCTAGAATACGTAAAGCAAATGTTAAAGCTGAACAAGCTGTTGAAAATGAGCTTGGTCCTAAAAGTCTAGGCGTTGTAGTAAAACAAGCAAAATCTTCTGGTAATGATAATAGTTATATGATAGTTACAAACAAATAAATAATTTTAATCAATTAATTAATCATTTTTTTTATTTATTAATGTATATGAAAAGGACGATTAAATATTTCTCATTGTTCACTGAAAGAAATTCCAGAAGAAGTATGGAAAATGTATGAAGTGGATCCTAAATCTATTACATTAGACTTTAGTAGCAGTAGTTCAGATGTTTGGTATGAAACTGTTAATCTTTTAAAGTTAATTGTTGCTGATAATCAATTAGAAAAGATTGATAAAAGAATAATAGAATTTGATGCATTGGTATTTCTTGATGTAAGTAAATATATATATATATATATATATATATATATATACAATTTTATAAATGTGAGTATTTTATTAAAAAGTTATATATTTAATTAATATAATATCATAATATTATAATATCATAAAATCAAAGTTACATAATAATAATCTGTCAACACTTCCTGAAGAATTAAGCGAATTAAAAAGTTTAGCAACTCTTAATCTATCAACTAACAAGTTTACAGAATTACCAAACTGTATATATGAACTATCATCATTAGTTGAATTGATGATTTCATCCAATCAATTGACAGGAACATTGGATAAATCATTTGGAAACTTAAAGAAATTAGAAGTATTAGATATTTCATCAAATGAGATTATTGGATTACCAAAAGAATTTTCAAATTTAAAAAATCTAAGAAAATTAAATATAACAAAAAATAAAATAAAAGAGATTCCAAGTGAGACATTTTTTGGGATGAATCAATTGGAAGAGATCGAAGCAAGTGAAAATCAATTGGAAATTATATTCTTAGGGTTAAATGAAAATCAAACCATAACACTACCATCTTTAATAAGATTAGATGCGAGACAAAATAAATTAAAGTCTATAGTACATGAATCAAAAGATTCCACAATATTTAATCCATCAATAAAATTGCCAAAACTTAAGGAATTACTTTTATCATTTAATCAAATGGACTCTCTTGGACTATTACTTCATAGTACAATTGAACTCGAAATATTAGATATTGCTAATAATAAATTTAATGATATTCCCGAAGGACTACTATCATTAAAAAATTTAAAAAGATTAGATATACGAAACAATCAACTTAGAATTTTGGCACCAGAATTAGGAACCTTAATTTCATTAGACGTTTTATTATGGGATGGTAATCCTCTCAGAAATATCCCAAAAGGTCAAAAATCCACAGCAGCTTTATTAAAATCATTAAGAGCCAAACTTTCTACATTTGGTAATGGATTTTTATTTTATTATTTGTTTTTATTTTGAAGAATAATTAAATAATTAAATATATGCAAATAAATGTATAGATCTTCAAACAATGGAAGGACCAACAATTCCTGAGAATAGATCAAACACATCCAAGAGTTCATCCTCAAGTATTTTAGGAACAATACCTCAACAACAAATTAATTCAAGAAGTTTAGATTTAGCAAAAAAGAATCTAAATGAATTACCAGAATCAGACCTTGAGGATTTGGGTTTTGAACCTTCAACAGTAATCTTAAGTTTCAACTCATTTACAAGTATTCCTATTGGATTTTTTAAATTATTTAAAATGAACCTAAAACACCTTCATCTTGATAATAATAAATTCACAACATTCCCTATATTTGAAGATAAAACTTTGGAGTTACCTAATCTTGAAACATTAGACTTGTCAGCAAATCAATTGACATCATTACCAGATGACAGTCAACATACAGCATTTCCCAATTTAAAAATATTTAATGTGAATAAAAATCGTATAACTGAATTACCAAAAAAATTGCCATTTCCCCAATTGACAACATTCTTGGCCACATCAAATAAACTTGGATCTATCTCACCTTCAACATTTGAAAATATGGAGGTAGTGGATATTTCTAATAATAATATAGGATTTTTGCCACCTGAATTGGGAAATCTGATTACTATTAAAACACTTATAGTTGAAGGTAATTCATTTAGAGTTCCAAGATATACAATTGTACAACAAGGAACGTCTGCTATTATGGAATATCTAAGAGGCAGAATTCCCAAGCCATAATTAATATTAGACAATTTTATTTATTGTTTTTTTTTATTCATTTATAAATCTATAATAATACTCATATAATATTTATATATTGTTATCTATCTGCATTTATTTTAATATAATAAAGTCTTTTTAACCAAAAGAAAAGTAAACAAACAAACAAGATTTGATTCAAAGATCTTGAGCCTCTTTCTTTCTTCCTCAGCCGTGATTACAAATTTGAAACTTTGCCCTCTTTTACAGGATAGATAAATTCCCCTATTTAACATATATGGGGTAAAAGACGGTCGGTTACTACGTATTTGTGTTACACGATTTTGAATTTTGCAAACCGCAGAAAAAATCGTTGTCCGAACGCCAACTATGACGACTCTTTTATTCTTTTTATTGTTTTGTCAATTTAGAAACTCTGCGCCCTGAATTTAACTGAACACACTAAGAGAATAATAATGTAATAATAAATAGAAAATGTGTTGAAAAATTTAATTTCAAAAAAAAATTTTATTTTTCAAAAATTTTTTTTTAATTTATTTATTCAGTTATAATGAAAAAGATGATTTCAAATAAATTTCAAATAATCATACCGATTTTCATTATATTAATAACATTGGAAGTAAGAAATAAATATATACTTGTACATGTAATTAAATAAATATCTAATAATATTCTTTTTAACGATAATAATAAGTGGTTTATATTACCTATTGATGCTCAAACAAAAGATACAAGTACTGGTATTATGATAGTGCCACCAAAATGGACTTGGTATATTTGTAGTTCACTAGAAACGAATTATATAAGTAAGCATTGGAATAATTCTCTATATGCATATCATTTACTTCATTATTTAATAAATCAAAAAATTCCCAGGTTATAATGTAATATGGATATCTACTTCCTCTGGAGCAACCCCAGGATTTGGATTTCCACCACAAGAAGGAAACCATCCAAAACAATACAAGACAAAAGGACTTTTAACCTTTGCAGCAAACTTTACAGGAATACAACAATTATTAGATCCAACAAGAACCCCAGCAGGATACATTCAGGAATTGTCATGTTTTGACGGTGATCCAGTATCGGGATGTGCAAAAGAAGCAAACCCACCATTTCCTTTTAATGTTATAGTTTGTCTAGCTGTAATCAATCCAAATGATGACGATTTAAAATTTGCTGGAACATTCTCCTTTAAACTTGGTACACCACCACCAGTAATGCCAAAATATGATCCACCTGTTGTTTCCACCATCGATGAAACTACTCCAACTGCTGCAGCTCCCCCAACCACCACAAAGGTAATACAAACCAATGACTCTCCCTTTATTAGTGGTAGCGATGGTGGTTTAATTTATAATAATTATGATAAACATAAGTTATTTATGTCATTAATTATTTCTATTATTGTTACTATTACTTTGGTTTTTACTTGAAAATATTCTATTTTTAAATACATGCGGGATGGA